CCCTCCCTCTCTCTCTCTCTCCCTTTCTCGTCTTTCCTTCGATACCTTGCATGTCGCGAGAATCGAGGAAATTCACGCTCGAAGGTGCATCCTCGAACAGTTTCCTGAGAACGTCTATTCCTCCCGTTCCTCCTCGCGCTCTCCTCATCCTCGAGCGGCGAGCGACCCGAAGTGGAACGGGGGTTGGAAATTTACGCGCCACGGATTTCGCTCCTCGTTTACCCCTCGGTCCTACGGAAGTCGAAGATCGCTCGAGCGTATGGTGCGGATCGTGATATCTCGATTAGATATCTCGACCCGTTACTCCGGCCGAGCGGAAGGCAACTCTTCTTTCCGGGAATCTATCCGTCGCTTCGATAACGCGTCTTTCCCCCGCGGTATCCCCGTGGAACTTTTTACGCAAGAACCCACGCTTCGACGAGCAGACCTCATTCGCGAAAAGTATTGAGTCTTCGTAATGTCACATTGGCCTGACATAAGCCGCGATGTAGCTCGCTATTCTATTTATTTGCCCTTTTTTAAAGAAATATATCGAAAGAAATATGTTTTACGAAGTTAATAAAACCGATAAATGTCAAAATTATTTTTTTAAAAAAGATCCAACCTTCTCGCTTCTTAGCTTGGATTAAACTGCTCTCCTCTAAACAGTTTTCTAAATGAAAGTGTTTATTTAAAATTAGCTATTAGTCGAGTCGAGAATACAACTGTTTGTGTGTTACGTAAATAACCGAGGAATATCGGCTTATGTCCGATTGCTCTCACCTATTATCATTTCTTTCCCCCTTCTCGTAGCCACGTAGAGCTGCCACTCGCAGAACGCGCCGAACGTAATTTCGAGAATGGAACGTGGCGGCGGACGACGCCTGGTTAAAAATTAAACGAACGCGTGATTGCCAACGTTACCGGACGAAAAGCGGGGCCAGGATCGGATTGGCCGTGCAAACGCGATTCGATCACCAAGGTCCTTCTGTTCGTTTCCCGGCCTATGGCTAGCTGGAGGTGATTCCGAGTCCGAATACGAGGGAGGGGGGAGGAAGGAGGAGGAGTAACACGGAATACCGCGTCCCCTGGGAATAAATCCACTACTAACATGATACGTATCCTCCCTCCCTCCCACTTTCGTTCCCTTTCGCCTTAACTCGACTACTTGACTGTGGGGGGTTTCAAAACTCATCGTGAAACGTGCCCGGAAGTCCGAAGTGGTCCAGCAGTGGTGCTTCTCAGTGGCACAGAGGCAAGAAATCCTTAATCATCGTTGGAAAACCTCCCTCTTCTGGGGAATAACGTGCAGATCATTCTGGTGCGAGTAGGTAATTGAGGATTATGGGTCGAGATTCGAGGTGACTAGAGAAAGCGTAATCGGCGTTTCTCCCGTAACCGGTGACCAAATTTAGGGAATTGCGGTAATCCTCGATTCGTGATTGATGTAAATATCAGAGAATTGTAAATCTTGGATATAATAAGAACAAAAAGAATTTTATTAGAAGACGTTTTTGTGCTTGTTGATTTGTCTCAAATTTCAACGATCTTTAATTTTATTATTACTTTTATTATTACTTGTTTCTTGTTATTTCTGTTGTTACATCAAAATTCTATTGTTCGGAATTTATTTAATTAATTAATTTCAAGTTTCTTGGACTTTCTGTAATCTACGCTTTCGCAATCATCCTAATTCTATTCATCTGTATTTTGGCCAAACGATAGCTTCCCCGGACCGTTCCGTGATTCCTCTAATGGACTTTTAGAGAATTGGAGCATGCGTCACGTACATAGCCCATATTAATATCCTTCTACGGTATCCATCTCGTCCCTTCCTAAAGATGTCCCAAGGGAGCCCAACGTACCGTTGGTAAGTGCGATATTTACTTTAGAGTCTTGCTCCAGAAATTTCTCCGTAGGTCTATTTACCAAATTGATCTTTTAATTCCGTAATTGCTAGCCGTAATAGCAATCGTATAACACTAAGTTTTCCCATTTCTAGAACGATTTTATTTCGAATTAGTTTAACACGTAAATCGTCTTTCGACTGTAAAAAGAAATTTTAGTTATATTATATACACAAAAGCTCTTGTTTTTATTTCTTAAAACATGTTTAAATACTTTTCAATTCAATTTACTTACTCCAGGATTTTCGTAGTTGAAATTTTAATTTGCACGAAGAGTT